GCGGTCCGCACCTCTTGCGCGCAGTGCCGGGGCCGGAGCCCGGGGCCGCGCGGGTTGCAGCCGCCGAGGCGCCGGCGCTGACGGTCCCCGTGCCTGGCGTGGGCTCGGCCGGCTTCCTGCTTTCCCGGACTCGGGCGTGGGGCTCGGAGATGGAAGCGCAGGAGCGCGCCTCGGTGGACGCCAGTCTGTTCGGGACTGCGGGGAGCGCAGCGCTCAGCTGTGACTCGGGGTTTAGGACAGGCTGCTTGTCCGCGCGGTGGACCCTCCTCGGGGGACGCTGGAGCAGCGTGCAGCCCCCGCCGCGGGCTCGAGCGCCGGGTTCCGGACCTCGCCGGCGCCTCGCCCTCCCTCGCTCTGGCTTCTGGGCCGCCCGTGGCCTGCGAGACGCCGCTCCCCTGCCCATCAGGTGCTGTGCCCTGGGTGCATCTTCATTCCTTCACTTGTAGAATTCCGTGTGTCATCTGGCCTGTGTGGTCTTCTTGTCACAAGTAGTTTTTTCCCATGCCCTAGCTACTGGCCAAATCGGGCGGCTCATACCCGATATTCCTTAGCTAAGGTGTTAGGGTGTCAGGGTAAAATTGGAATGACTCCTTCAGGAAGAGCACTGTTGGTCGGGAGGTACCTGCACAAGCCAGGTGTTAACTGGCCAAGGTGCAAAGAGCACGGGGTTTGGACTATGTGGGACACGTAATCGGTGTCCTCACACCTCCCCGTGGGCTCATTTTGTAGTGGGATTGTGTTCATATAGAATTTTAGGTTTTTCTCAATGGTTGAGACAGGAGGATTGCTGCGAGTTTTAGACCAGCCTGTGCTACATGGTGAGTTCAAGGCCACCATGAACCACACAGTGAGACCCTGACTCAGAAAAGAAGAGGGTTTTACGTTTTTGACATTTATTCTGTTGCGCTGTATGCTAGAGCCTCTGAAGCATTTTAGTACTTTTAGCTTAGAGATGAGCAGATAGCCGGCTAGGAGAGTGGACCCACGACTGTGCATCTCAGTGAGCCTTGACTACGCACCTGGCCTTGAGCCGCCCTCACCACTACCCTGAGGGAGATTGGTGCTGTACCCGCACCCACGTGTTGGAACAGGGAGGCATTTAAGAGGCAAGAGTGGGAGTGTTAGATTATGTTTCCTACTTTTAGAAACTTCTCAAGCCAGGTGTGCTGCTGTATTCGGGAGACTGAGGCAGGAGGATCACTGTGAATTCCAGGCCAGCCCGGGGTACATAGCAAGACCATGTCTAAAAAAGAAAGAAAAAGTAAATAAAAATATAAAAGAAAGAAAGAGGGTGGAGATACAGCTCAGCAGCATAAGCACTTGCCTGGCAAGTGCAAGGTCCTGAGTTCAATCCCCAGTACTGCCAAAAAAAAAAGAAAAGAAAGAAACTTTTGTACCTGAAGTGAGCACATCTGGGGAGTAGGTGACCAAAGGGGCGGGTGGTGTGTGTGTGTGTGTGTGGCTTGGGCAGGTGGCCATCCCACAGCTATCCTCCCTGCTCTTCCAGTTCCCTGGCGTTGGTACAGCTGGGTCACTGCTGTTTGCAAGTGGGTAAAGGTCAGAAGTGTGCTTATGTTTTGAAATTTGAAGTTTATAATGCTACCTGTGACACTGTAATTATATGGTTGTATATACATCTTAAATTGAGGGTCTTGCAGCTTATCTAATAGGACTTTAGAACTTTAGAATCCTAAGTTGTTTTTTTGTTTTTTGACAGGGTCTCACTGTTCAGGCTGGTCTTGAACTCACTATGTCGCCCAGACTGGGCTTGAACTTGCAGTGACCTGCCTTAGTGTCTTGAGTGCTGGGATTACAGGTGTGCTCTACCACTAAGTTTTTAAGAAATTTCTGCAAATTGGTTTTCTGTTTACCTTAGAATTCACTGAAGAGGGCTGGTGAGATGGTTCAGTGGTCTAAAGCACCTACAAGCTAAGCCAAGCAAAGCACACGGACCTCGGTTCAATCCCCCAGCACCACATGCCAGCCCGCCCACCCCCTGGTGGGCTGAGCTGGCCACACACAAAATAAATAAATAAATAAATAAGACAGGCGTATTTGTCTTTAAAAAAAAAAAATTCACTGAAGAAATTAGATGATTTGTGTGTTTCTTTCCAAAAAAGTTAAAGACATTGCAGTCATACATGGGTATTCATGCTTATAGCAGCACGACTTTTAATTGCTAAATCTTGGAAGCAGTCTGTGTGTCCAGCCGATGAATAGCTCCAGGAAAGGTGCTACACAGTGGAGGACTGCTCAGCCATAGAGGCAAAAGTTTGAGTAATTTGTAGGAAAATGGATACAACTTGAAGCCCAAATGTTAAGTGAAATAAATCAGACACGTAAGCTTAAATATTACTTGAGTTTTCTTGTATGAGAAACCCAAAACAAATAAAGAGCAATGGGACATTAGGAGATAGATTTTTTTTCCCCCAGGAGGCCAAGGGACCAGGAGGTGAGAAAAGAGAAAGGAAGGGTTTGAAAAAAGGATTAAAATGTGCTATGCACCAAGTCCCTGCAAGGAATACAATTATTATGTGCAGCAAAAGTTAGAAAACTTCATTGGGGTAGGAGGTCCTGGTTGTAGTTTCACGTTGTATGCTGAGCAGGTGATGGCGGACCTTATAGGGCTCTCAGTGTTAGAGCAGCTCAGAGGCATGCATCCCAAAGGATTGCTGCCACTACCTCAAACCTCTCTATGTGCTGAAGGGCTCTGTGTATGATCTATTGATGTTTTTTTTTTTCTTTTTTTTTTTTTTTTACAGGGTCACTAGGTAGCGCAGGCTGGCCTCAAACTCAGCCATCTTCCTGCCTCAGCCTCCCAAACGTTGGGATTGCAGGTGTGCGCCACCATGT